TCATAAAATTTGGCGTAATTTCAAGAGGTGAAAAGGTTTTTTTAAATGAAATGATTTCAGATTGTGGAAAGTTCAAGCTTTGAGATTCAGGGGTTAATTCATTCGGGCAGTTTTGTGGTAAAGGTGACGAAAGTTTTATTCCTAAATGATTTTTCCAACGAACATTAAGTAAGGCACGATAATTTGTAGGAGTCATTGACATTTTGGTTAAACAACTTCTCCTCGGATTATAGACGTAGCCGGGATAAATACGACTATGAACCTTCTTTGCACAATCAGCGATAAGCGTAAAAAGGTCTTTAACTTCCTTTGGTTCGTCTTTCCATCTTGTACCAGCAATTTTGGAAATTTTGTCTAGCCTTTCAAGACTCGTTGCTTGACAGATAGCCATTTTAGCTTGTAAATTCCTTCGATATATCACAAAAGAATTTTGCGGTCTCGGTATCTTCAAGGTACGATGATTTTCTATTGGCGTTAATAGATCATAAAGCGACAATACGGTGTTCTGTTCGATCTTGAGCAAGGTATCCTCGCTGATATATTTTGAAATAACTTTGTTAACAATAGTAGAGTATTTATCAGGAAGATTTTCGTGATTAAAATCACAAAGTTGATACGGAAAATATTGCATGGAATACGACATGATTATTCAACGAGGAGAATTTTTGGGTAATTTGATAACATAAACCTGTCGACAAGCAATCTCTTTATATATGAATTAATTTCTCCTCGTAATACATCCGGAAAATTTCATTAATAATAAAAACATTTAAAGAAATAAAGAAATGTGAGATCCAATCAAAATTTTTACTCACTCCTTGATATTATTACCTTTCTTAAGATGTTTACGATAAATACATAAATTAATTTTAAATTAATAGTTGTATTGTATTGTTATCATGTACAGTAGATATCGTTGTATACCATTTTGAATTAAGTTTTTTTTTAATTTTTGTTGTTCTTAATAAATTATTACTATTGTTAAAGAGTAATAATCTAATCCTTTGTCTGGATACTGTACATTCTTCATTCAATAACCACACCATTTGTGTATCGAAACAAATTATTCGTCCGCCTTATCATAATATCAATTTTTCCGTGATATCATACATACATGGTAATTGTAACGGGCATTATCAAATCAAATTAAGTCTTTCAAGAGGATTATTCAATATCGCGTATAATTAGTAATCGTGCCCTAACCCTATTATAAAAACAATTATATAATAAAAGATAAATCCCGTTGTCAAACAATCAGGTGATCTCAGATGAGAATTCGTTATATTAAAAATATATATATATATATATATATTTAATTACCTAATAAAACCGATTATTGAATCGTTCCACTAAATAAAGGTCTGGAAAGGTTGAAAACATTAAATAATCTTTATATAAGCCTAGTTATCATAATAAAAAAATCTTCCTTGCTGTTTAAAGATAAAATTAAATAAATATAAATATAAGGAACGATATAAAAACATGGTAACCTAAAGTTCTAGAATCAAAATAATAAAATTCACTTGTTTAAGTAATCAATGTGCATCGTAATCCATGTGTAATCTCTTGTAATCTGTTCTGTGCGTAATTAAAAAAAATAGTAGAACATTATTTTTCTAAAAAAAAAAGTGATATCTGACAAATTTAGTATCCTATATTAAAAAAATATATATTATTTTAATATTTGATTATTTGAAACGAAAAAAAAATCTTGGCGTAATTAAGTACCGGAATTTTTTTTTTTTTTTTTTTAAAATTAAGATATATAAATAAAAATCTTTTTATATTCGGCGAAAATTAAACTGGAAAATTTTTAAAATTTCAAAAAATTTTTACGCCCTGATCGCTACCGTACAGGAGGAGGCACAATGAGGGGGTTCTTGGGTTCTTTTCTCGTTCTTTTTTTTTTTTGAAACAAATATCAACATTAAAAAATAGTAATTTAGAGATCTGCAACTCTTATTTTAGTAAACCTGAAAGATTTGCAAATGGGCTTATCAGAGAAATATTTCCATTTATTTTTTCAATCTGAATTCTAGACTCAAACAAAGTGATGTTGTGAAACAACCGCAGCAACCTATATCAAACTCATTGAAAGTATGTTCGTTGTATGCTATGATTTCTTTTTAAGTTTATACCTTATGTGTAGCAAATGTTTCGATTCCTAAAGTCTTTTTGAACGCAACGAAGAATTCAAAGCAGAGAACTATCCTAGTTGATTCATTTTGTTACCTCTATGGCTTATTTTACACACCACTAACCTTGTTATAAGTGAACGAACATACCTTTATAAATCCCTTATGCTTCCAACAGGACAGTTTAACTAGAAAAAGTGACAGCAAAACTCAATCTATTAGTATTTGGTTTTCTAGGCTTCAAGAGATCGTTTAACTCCTAATGTAAACTGTCTGCTTGCCTGCTATAGATCAGTAAGACTTCTAGTACAAACGGCAAACTTTCTTCTAATGTTAAAGCTTTAAATGTATTCGTCCGAAAAAGGCGAGGTCACGTTAAAAATCATAAAATTAAAGTTTGAGCATGATCAGCTAAGCTCTCATTAATTTTACCGCAGTTTTAGCTCTTGGTAGAATCGTTACGATTCTTTCTCTCAACTTCAGGTATTTACCTTTCAATGCTTTTTGTATTTCTTGCAGATTCAGTAGAAGCATTTACTTAAATCTATATTTAATAAAGTGTTTTAAATATTATACAACCAAAATAGAAGTTTGAGATATGGGAGGTTTGCTATTAAATCATATGATCCGTAACGTGATTTTAATTGCAAACCTCCCATATGATTAAATACCTGTTTGTTTGGTAAATTGCTTCATATGATTGGTACAAATATTTAAATATTTTGTTATATTTTATTTATTTAATTATAAATTAATATAATTAATTAAAAAAATATATGCAAAATAGATTTTCATAGTTAAAATTGATAAAAATACTTAACTATTTTTGTTTAATTCATTTTCAACTATATAGAGGTTCTCCAATGATTATCAAGAATTAAGTTGAATTAGCTATATACATTTTCATCATACTTTATTGTACTAAAAAAATTTCACGTCATTTTGCAACTTGAGCCTGTTCTTTTAATGCTATTCTAAATACCAATAATAGTACATTTTTGGTACAATTATTGCTATACTGCTAAAATCTCTTAATTCTTATGTTCTGTAGAATAAATTTATAACTTGTCTTTGTATTGTTGATTAATGCATACTAACCGATATGGGATAATAATATTTGTCATGAATCATATTCTATAATTAAGCTTCTCAACGAAAAGATAGATACCACTCTTTTAATTTTAAGGCCAAAATCGTTTTAAAACGACCTTTGCTATTATTTCGGTATAATCTATATATGGGACCTTTGCAATAGAAAAAGGGGGAAACGGTTGGAAAAAAATAAAAAAATGAGTTAATGCTAAATCTGAAAATATTTTGACCTAAAAATCATATTTGGCATATAAAAGTAAAATTGATTTTTTCCGGCACTTTGTATGCAAAGGTCCCATATATAAATGTTTCTGATCCAATAGATTTCAAGCTGAAAATCCAAAGTGATCTGGTTTTTATTAAAAAACTTTTGATAGTTTTTTGCTTATTATAACTATCAAAAGTTTTTTTTTTTTACATGAAATACAGTAAGTTTTATCAATAACTTTTAAGGGCATAAATGATAGATTCATTTTTTCGTGAATCCACATGGATCATGTTAATCTATGTTTAATCATTACGCCCTAACTGTATTTCGTTTAGTCAATAAAATTTCTCCAATAATTTGTTTTAACTTTTTTTTACAGATCTTCTCATTACAAAGTAAATTAAGCTAGCAGAATAGAAAATCTGATTACCTATTTGAATATTATAACCATCGAAATATAAAATTGTGTTTTCGTTGGTGGAGATATTTTGTTCTAGAATTATGAACGTTTTATCTATCTTGATCAAAAAATAAATAATACGGATACATTTCTTATTTTGGGATCCCAAAACCTATTGGGCCTTTTATTCTAACAAAAAAATAAATACCGTGATTTTATATATATAGTTCAAAGTTTTGATATTTTCCCTGAATGTAGGAAGTCAATTTATCAAATAATTGAGGTTTTTTCATAATTTTCAATTTCATTTCTAAGCATCTCTTCTTCCAAGAATTAAATAAATTACAGGAATAATTTTATAAAGATAAAGCAGCAAAAAAAAAAAGTGAAGGTGAAAAAAGTTTGTATCATAAAATTGTTCTTAAAGAGTAAAACAGGTTTATTTATATATATTTTTTAGGTGAATTATAAAGAAAGAAATACAATGAAGGAATAATCTGATTTGTTCCTTTCATTGATAATTTTCGTTTTCCACTTTTTCTTTCTTCTTTATGAAGTTTCATGCTTAAACAAAAGACGTATGAAATGTTTATGCCATGGTTTTTCTGTTAATAATAATAATCTCTTTGAGGGCCATATTTTTGGCAAAAAATGTGGTAATAGCAATATTATGTAATCATTGTAAATGTAATCATGAAATCATCACGTAAACCTTTTATTTGTGTATTTCATACACAATCTTAATTTCGGGTATCCAAACTTGGTGGTTCGTTCAATGGAAAGTTTTATTGGACCCGACAATAATGCCATGACATCATCATTGATGGTGCCGCAGCAAGGCCTTCGAGTGTTACGAGATGCGGGCGTGATGTAACAAATTACAAATTTAGTAAAATGATAATAAGAAAAACCATTTTGCGAACAATTGTTTTGAAAAAGTCTGGAAATTTTTATATTTTTATTTTTTTTGCTTCTAATTTTAACCAATTATTCGAATGTTTTTCCGAAAATAAGAAAAAATAAAAATAAAAATAAAAAAGGAAAAAAAAAAATAATCATTTATTTATAATCTCATAACTCCTCCTTTAAAGTAAACCTTACATTTTTTTTTTTTTTTTTTTTTTTTTTTTTTTTAAAAAAAAATTAAAATTTTTTTTTTGTGTCCATGGCCGGTGCATTACCAAAAGGATGGGAACAACGGGTTGGTTTTCCTGAAATGATTTAATTTTCTCATAAACCCTGATTATTTAACCTAATCCCCCCCCTTTTTTCCTCCTCTCCCTTAAAAATGAAAATTAGTTCGATACGCAAACAAAACAATCTTATTGTAAGTTTATAATTTAATTCATCTGGAATCTAAAAAGTAAACGAAACAGCAAAATAATTATCATTTATTAATGCAGTTGTTAACATAAACACAAACGAGAAAACAACCGTGAGTAAGGCTCTCTCTCTCATTGAGTCCTAAAGGAAATCCCAATCCAATTAAAAATGCAAATGAAAATTTTTTAATAGCATGACCCCCGTTTGCCACTGTATCCGACTCCAAAACCACGAAATCATTACTCTCTACCAACACCGGGTCATAATCCCGTACTTTCCCAGCAAACATCGCAACCGTATCATGCAAATTCACTTCCGAACCATTCTCATGCTGCAAACCGTTCAACTCCAGCAGCCTCTTATTTGGGTAATGCTAATTTATCTCCTCAATCATCTCCTCAACAAACAGAAAGTATAATTTCGGCACCTCAACATTGCGCTTCGGGTTCTTCTCTCTTAGAACAACCATATTCCCCTTCTCAAAAAAAAAATAATAATATAGTTGCTCCACATACGCCAGTGACCCATCGTGCTAATGATGTTTACACGCAACAAACTGTAAAGCATCAACCGCAAACTGTTCAAACCATCGGTGGGCAAACACCAAATGTTGTATATGTTCAACCTCAACAGCCCGCACAAAAGGTATATGTTCCGCAAGGAGGAAATCAAGTAGCATATAGTATATTGTCAAACCAACAACAACCTGCACAAAAGGTATATGTTCCGCAAGGAGGAAATCAAGCAGCATATAGTGTTTTATCAAATCAACAACAGCAACCTACACAAAAGGTTTATGTTCAACAAGGAGGAAATCAAGTAGCATATAGTGTTTTATCAAATCAACAACAGCAACCTACACAAAAGGTTTATGTTCAACAAGGAGGAAATCAGGTAGCATATACTGTAGCATCAAATCAGCATCAGCAACCTACGCAAAGGGTTTATGTTCAACAAGGAGGAAATCAAGTAGCTTACAGCGTAGCATCAAATAATCAGCAACAACCTACGCAAAAGGTTTATGTTCAACAAGGAGGAAATCAAGTAGCATATACTGTAGCATCAAATCAGCATCAGCAACCTACGCAAACGGGTTATGTTCAACAAGGAGGAAATCAAGTAGCATATACTGTAGCATCAAATCAGCATCAGCAACCTACACAAAAGGTTTACGTTCAACAAGGAGGAAATCAAGTGTTATATAGTGTAGCATCAAATCATCAGCAACAACCTACTCAAAAGGTTTATGTTCAACAAGGAGGAAATCAAGTAGCATATAATGTAGTATCAAATCAACAACAGCAACCTACGCAAATGGGTTATGTCCAACAACAAGTAGGAAACCAGGTAGCATATAATGTAGTAACAAATAAGCAAATTAACTCTTATCCCACAATGAATGCATCAACAGTTGTTGGGTATAAAGCTTATACTGCTGCAGCAACCAACATGGCCACTCCTACTGTCGTTTCTCAAAATCCACAAAATGCATCGGTCTTAACAGGACAACAACATAACGCTACAACACAGCAAACGGTTACCATGTCTCAACCTACAGGAGTAAATGTACAGGGACAGCAAGTTAATTTGTATGCTAATCAACAAACAATCGGACAAAATAATGTTAATTCATTAAATAATATCGCTAATCAAAGTAAGTACTTGTATGATTTTTAAATTTTTTTTATTTTTTAACTAAATTTTTTCAACTTATCTATAGGTTGTGAAGCGATGTTTGATGTTGGAAGAAAGGTGTTCGATCCAAAGACCTATTCAAATTTATTCTCGTCAAATCAATACAACCAAAATGTAGTAATTGTTGGTAACAATGCGACTAATCAACCTCAACAAATTTCAATTCAACAAGGAAGTCAGGCAAATGCTGTCCAATTGCAACAATTAAATAACACACTTCAAAACAATCAAAAACTATTGCAGCAACAATTAAGACCAGCAGGTAATCAAATGCTACATCAAAGGCCTACCGGTTCAACGCACCCTTTCTCTGGAGCAATTCGTCCACCACGCACTCAAAAACCTCCACAACAAGTAAATACTTCTAACGCACCGCATGCCCACGGTAAAATACCAGGTAAACTTGGAAACTTTGGAAAACTTGGAAAGCTTGGGAAACCATATAAGCCAACCAATAATCCTAATAAGCCAGCAAATAATTCTAATAAGCCGGCAAAACAAAATAATCAAACTCAACAGCAGACACAAGATTTTGCGCAAGATGCAACTCAGCAACAGGAAGTTCAAGCTGCCGAACAAAATGAGCAAGCTGGACAAAATGAAGGCGAACAAGTGGAGGATTATTATAATGAAGGAACTTATGAACAAAATTATGAAAATTATCAAGGATTTGAAGATGATACTTATTATCAGGAATATTGTTACAATGACACTACATATGAAGAAGATTGCTATAATAATGGTGCTACATATGAGGAGAATTATGAAAATACTGCTTATGGTGGTGAATATGTAAGTAGATTTGTTTATTATTAAGAAGGCAGAAGTACATATATATTTAAAAATGATTAATATAAAATTTTTTGCGCTACCTTGTAGGATGCGGGTGTTACAAGTGAATTTAATGAAGGATTCGATATAAATTCAATAACAGAAGGTGGGGAAGGTGGTGGTTTTGATATGAGTTCAATATTAGGAGGTGGAGATGGTGGTGATGGTGGCGGTTTTGATATGAGTTCAATTTTAGGAGGTGGTGGTGGTGGCTTTGAAATGGGTTCGATTTTAGGAGATGGTGGTTGCTTTGATATGAGTTCCTTAACTGAGAGTATTGATTTTTAAATAATATTTAATCATATATTTAATACATCTAATGGAAATAACTAGCCAACACCCGCGAGATATATGCACACCCAGAAGTTACTAAGTAGGCTGGAGCTTTGATTTTCGCAACTCTCTATTTGCCACACCGAGCTTATCGTTTAAATTTAGAGAGACAAGTTTATTAGTTAGCAATAAAAATCATCACGATGATAACCATCAATTCTGTTTTAATATCATTCTTTTAATAATATATTTATGAAATAAATGAATATTAACATCAAATTATTTACAAATAAGCAGATATGAAATTTAAATTGATCTAAAGTGTAACAACTAATCTAAATATTTTGTTAATATATCATTTACCAATTTAGGACTTGCTTTACTTTTAGTTTCTCTCATAACTTGTCCTACAAGCCACTGATATATATTTTTATTACCCTGTTTATATTGGTATACCTGCAAATTATAATAATTTAATTTTTTTTTTTTTTTTAAAAAAAAAAATTTTAAGACAAAAAGAATGAGTTCGAAATCTATATAACCAACCTGTTCAGAGTTCTTGGATATAATATTTTTACAAATTGTTTCTAATTCATCCATATTTGTTAATTGTTTCCATCCCTTTTCTTGTATAATATCAGGGGTAAGACGTTTTTCTCCTGATATCATTTGGGCAAGAACCTTCTTTCCTATTTTGGCTTTATATAATAAATTAAGAATCAGCATCAAATTTGAAAGAAAAAATCAAGTTCTGAAATTATACAATACAGTACCTGTAATTTCATCCGTCTCAATGGAATCAATTATGGAACCTAATTGTTGTGTTGTTACGGGATTGTGGTCGAATTTGATATTTTTGATATTTAGGAGACCATACAATTCGTGAGTGATCCAATTCACTACATGACGAGAGTTACGATCTTTTGCTACCTAAAAAGAAAACAAGCCTAATAAACAATAATTTACACAATAATTAACCAAAAATAAAGGCTATCGACATTACTTCCTCAAAATACTCTACACCACCATTTTCACGCATTAATGACATAACATCATTCAATGAAATGTGATATTGGCTCATCAATCTTCTTTTACGGTCATCGGGTAGCTCTGGTAGACTATTATATATGCGTGTAAGATAATCCTAAAATATTGATTATTGATTAACTTATGAGACATTAACAAATCAACAAACTACAAATATATAAACGATACCGTACTTTAGTAAGTATTAATGGAGGTAAATCTGATTCCGGCATGTATCGATAATCGGTATAAGTCTCTTTAGTTCTCAATCTAAAAGTCTGGTTGGTAGCAACATTGTAACCTCTAGTTTCTTGAATGACAGTTCCACCTTTATTTAACTCGGCAATTTGGCGTTCAATTTCTACATCTAACAAAAACAGTTTTATATTAATAACGAATTCAAAATAATTGATGAAAGTTAAAAACTGGTGTTACCAACAGCAGCCATTAAAAATTTAACGCTATTTAAATTTTTGATTTCACATCTTGTACCAAAGGGAGTTCCCGGCTCATGTACAGAAACGTTTACATCGCATCGTAATGACCCCTTAAAAATTGAATAAAACAAATGAATTTTTAAAGTCATCAAAAAATAGAAATAAATTGTCAAGAAACTAACTTCTTCCATGTTTCCATCCGAAGACCCTATGGCTCGAAACAATGCTTGTAACTTACGAACAGCGAGACCAGCTTCTTTTGATGTTCTCATGTCAGGTTCCGTCACAATTTCCATTAGACCGGTTCCCGCACGGTTTAAGTCAATTAACGCCATCCCAGGTCTTACATCATGTATACTTTTTCCCGTATCCTATAAAGAGAATAAATGATTTAACAATGTTCTTAAAAATCCGAATAAACTATAATAACTTACTTCACCTGTTCGATTTGAATTTGTTTTATTCTAATATCTTTTTCGTATTCAAGTCCATCTAAAGGTGACACCGTCACTTTTCCACCAAGGGATATTGGAGCTAATTTAAACCATCATAAAAGTTAAATTCTGTTGACATTAATCATCGATAATCTATTAATAGTTGTGCTCGCTTACCATAATGTTGTGTTATTTGATACCCAGCTGGTAAATCTGGATAAAAATAATGCTTTCTATCAAAGGATGAAACCAATTGAACATTTCCCGATAACGCTAGAGACGTTGCAACCGTAAGATCTATACATTTAGGATTTAAACGCTTAAATAAAAATAAAATAATAAAATTAATTAATACATTTAATTTGTTCTTGAATAAATTATTCTATAAAAAATTTATGCGTAGAATTACCGGGATGGTTCCCGGAAAAGCAGCATCAATCACTGATACATTCGTATTAACAGGTTCGTTGAAGGAGGTAGATGATGCTGATTTCATCATTGAAAATGTTCAAACTTTTATTAAATTTGCTAGACTTCATCACAGTAATTACAAGATAAAAAGTACTCCTATTCTAGATATGATAATAACCACCCACTAGAAAATAACTTCTTCTTTGAATTTATTTGAGCGTGAATTTCTAACCCAATAATCGCTTCCCATTTTTCTCGGTAAAGATTTTGTGTAGAAAATTTTTTCAAATGAGTCGTGTTATTTTGATAAAGATTTATAATAATGTTATTAAATTTGGATTTTAAGGTAGTTGTGAACATTTTAAATTAAATTAAATAAATGAGATTCCTGAAAAATTTTTTGATCGGCCCTATTTATGTTGATCATTTTATGATTGGAATTTGGCCAGCACTATCAAATTGTAATTTCAAATTATTGTCCTAGAAACACGAGTAATATTTCCAAAATGGTTGATCTATTTACCAACTTTTTTTAAAAAAAAAATAAATCAATAAGTTGAACAATTTTAAATAATGACCATTTCAAGCGCCAACGAATTTATAACTTTATTAACGAACTTGGGCTATCCGAATATATCAAATTTACAACCAAAACAAATATTGTGGGCGTATGAACATTTAGAAACACGTAATATACTCGATTGGTTATGTACAAATATCGATGTTGAACAAAATGTTATTGACATTAAAGATGATTGGATGTAAGTTATTAAAATACTTAGTTTCTTCTTTTTGGGGGGAATAGAGACGCGTTCGGTTTATTTAACAGAAATATGTATTGTTAAATTGACATTTTTTTTTCAGTAACCCTTCCATTTTAATGAAGCAACAGTATGTATATGATTTAAATTACTTTTACAAATGATTGTTTTTGGATTTGATGATTTTGATCGTCTCGTTATATGATAGAAAGGAACTAGAAGACATTGAAAATGAGATCAATTCTGGACGGCAAACCCGAGATCATTTATTGCGTCACCATGATATACTCAAGTAATTAAAATTATTTATTTATTAAAATCATTTTTTATGCTGTTTTTTTTTTACTAAATCAGATAGTTAAACATTAGATGCAATTTAGAAAATATTGAAGGACAGCTTGCAGATTTAAAAAGAATTAGTCGTGATCTAGATGAAAAAAATGAAGAAATCGACAAGCAAATTGAGCAAGATTCTGTCAAGGTTTTGGTTCTTATATTCAAATTCCTCCTTTTATACTTAAATTCGATAATAAATATTGACATTTTTTTAATAAAAGCTTGATATAGGCACGGCAGCGATGATGACAACAATTTCCGAATTATTATCAGAAAGGAAATTATCTGAAGGAAAAGGTAAATACACGCGTCTGACGCATTAATTTCATTACGTACTTATTCCTTTATTGAATTTTGTAGGGAAGCAACAGATGAATTTGATATATCAGTGTGCTAATGAGATTACTGAAATAATGAACATAGATCAATCATTTACACACGAATTGCAACAACTTTGTGAGATGTTTTTTTCAAATGTATGAAATGATATTTTATATTTTAGACAAGTTTCTTGTTAAAAGTAATGCAATCAAGGAATTCTTTTAAATATTCTTTTATATAGGATATTATGAAAAAGCTCGAATCATATAATTTGGCTGATGAAGTCGCACGTCTCAAGAACTTATATCCAATGACACAGCTCAAATATATAAAAGCTTGTACTGAATTCAAATACTTGTCAACATTTTTGCAAGTGATTCAAAATGAAGCTACGAGAATTTATTCCTTTGTTCCTGACTTTAATTCCTTAAAATCAAATTTGGATAAGAATACGAATAGCAATTCATTACTTAGTAAACAAATCAATTATGTCATGGACTCGCGAATAGGTTCTTCATTAAGTAATCTCGCTTATCTAGAAGTGGAATCTCCAATATTGGCAGCTGATTGTAAAGTTAGGTTACAATCTCAACGAATCGTGATTGATCGGTTAGACTTTGTAGGTCAAAAGTTGCTTTTCACTAGATAACCTCTGTTAATGTATACTGTTGTTGAAATTAACTGTATTTGTTCATTCAGGTTATTGATCAGCTATTAACGCAGCAAGCACGTAATCAATTCGTGGCACAAACCTTTTGCGTCGAAATGTATAATCAGGAATCACTTCATAGAGTATTTTTAAATTTAAATGGAGATTTAGAAAAGAGGATTGAAAACATTAATAAGCGGATGGTAATATTTTCCACTTTACACAAAGCATCTGTTATGAAATTATCCTTTATTATGTTATTAATGTTTTGCATTGAATATTTATCAACAGAACCTTATGTCAGGGGCAGATTTTACAGAACAATCTATCAATAAAACAGTGATAGAAAGCCACGATGATTTTTTATTATCTTTGAAAAATTTATTAAACTTGGATTTGTGTAAGTAATATATATTATATGTGAAGTTAAGTATTTATTGGCATATTTTATTTAATCTTCAATAATAGTTACGGGACATGCAAAAGAGGAGAAACTTTTACCGTTTACTACATATGAATCTTTAAAAGAAAGATTCGTTGAAATTGAAAATATGAGGAAAACTTCACTTGATAAAATTGAACAAGAGTGGGAATCGCAACAAGAGCTTTTGAAATCTTGGTAATTAAGAATTTTTAGATG